TCGCCCCCTGGTGGGCTGAGCTGGCCACACACACACACATAAATAAATAAAAAATTAAAAAAAAAAAAGAACTCAATTCTTAATAGCTTACCTTCAGCCTTTAAAAATGACTTATATTTTAAAAATATTTCTTAAAACTCCCCAAATCAATCTCCCCACAATCAATTTGTTTCAGGTGATGGAAGCCAATAACAAAAAGCTACTTTTTCTAAAACTTTAAGCATGGAATCAGTACTTCATCAATGCTCTAGGTATGTTATCTGTTGGACAGGTAGGGACATAATTAAGACTCAGACTTTGGCAATGTCTAGGGACAGTCTGGTAATGATAGGGAGTACAAGCATCGAGTGGCTACCAACCAGCCATGCAATTAATCAATCTATAGTGTATAGAACACCCCACCCAAAGAATTATCCAGACCAAAATGTCCACAGTGCCAAGGTTGAAAAATGCTAACCTAACAAAAGCCATACTAGTATTTTTGTGAAAATGAAACTTTGGAGGTATTTGCTACAAAGATTATGTTTTCTCTGTGGTAGCCAAAAGTTTGTATTTTTAAGCAATAAAGCTGAGCTCAAAAATCTTAGAGAAATTTTTTGGGGGGAGGTTGTGCTAGGGATGGAATCCTACACCATACCCTTGCTAGGCACGTGCTCTGTCTCTGAAATACAACTCCAGCCTTATCAAATAAATTTAATAGTAAAAGTATTTAATTGCTTCTTGATTTTCTAATCAAAATAATGTTATAGCTGGTAAAATAAGTTTTCCCCAAAGTCTCACATCAGCCACAGTTCTAAAAAGTGACCACAGTTTTTCCCAGTTTTATAGCCTACCCTTCAATTTCCTTTTTTTTTGGTACCAGAGATCGAACTTGGGACCTTTTGCTTGCCAGGCAGATGTTTGTGCCACTGAGCTATCTCCCAAGCCCCTATCATTAATTTCTTGGGGGAGAAATACCTGGCCTCAAGGAAGTCCAACTACAGTTCCATTTCAGGCCTGGTTTCGTCTTAACGTAAGATGGGGTAGAAACAATGGTAGACACACTTTGTGGAACTGCTGCAAAATCAGTGGTTCTGAGAGTTTATCACAGTCCCTAGAACGAAAACAGCTATTTTAATTATTATTACCTCTTTTTTTCTTTCTTCTAGAGTCAGAAAGTTTTGATACCATTTCTCATGCTGTTGAACTTCATCCTGCGTTCTTCCTGGAAGGTGTTCCAGAACTTCTCTCATGAATGCAGGTTTCCCTTTATGTTTGTTCCTCACCTTTACAAAGTTCTGATGGTCATAATTATCCCAGCCCCCTTGCCGTCCTCCCGTTTGCTGAAGGAAGTTTTCAAAATCTACCACTGCTTCTGGAAGAGTATTTGGTGTCATTTTGTCTACAGAAACTTTGCTTGATATTGCTCTGAAAGCTTTCTCTGTTTCTGAATTACTCAAAGCCCATGTGTCAATTTTTCTTGATATGGCATTCAATTCATTATTTGTTGTTTTCTCTTCTTTAATGAGCTCATCGTATCTAAAATTTTTAAAAAAGTTTAAAAAGGTATCAGCCAATCCATACTAACCCTTCATTTTCTTTCAAATTAAATTACTCCTGATTCATTTTCTTCAGTTGATATTATTAATATTTATGAATCAGAGATTAAGAGGTTCCTTCCAACATTAAAATAATCTTTAAAATTCTTATTTGGAATTTCATAGTATCTAAATATGAATTAAAATGTATGTTAAACATTAAAAAACATATAAGCCCTAAGGCAAAAATAATTGTAATATTGCTTTCACGTAAGATTCATACACATAATAAAATATTTGTATAAAATGACCTAGTGGTAAGTTATAGAGAAATAAAAGTTAATTTTATGTTAAAATAAGTTTAAAACATACATCAATCTTTGTTCTTCTTTAAAAGTGTTAATCGCATTTTCAATTTCTTCCATCATTTCTCTGAGCTTCTCGACAACTGTTAAAAAAAAAACATACATATATACATACATACATACATACATACATACATATAACGTCATATGTCAGTGTGGCTAAGTTCAAATTTAAGAAAAATACATAGAATTTAAAAATATTTCTTAGCATCAGGAATTAAGATTAACTGTGCTCAAAACTGTTACTTTTTTCCTTGAGGTACTATGGGTTGAATCCAGGATCTTGGTGCTGAGCTATACCCCTTTCCCTCCTTATTTTGAGGCAGATCATGTTAAACTACCAACATGCCCAAGCTGGGCTCAAATTTTTATCCTCCTGCCTCAGCCTCCCAGAGTACTGGGATATCAGGCATGCACCACCAACTGGGTCAAATTACAAGTTTTTATAACTGCAAGTTTTATGATCAGACTTAAGTATCCATTATCATTAAATATTATAAGTACTATTTTTACAGGAATTATTTTGTACTAAACATACTATTATTTGAATTGGAATTTTTATTTAACAAGATGTGGTTAAATATAAATAAACTTCGCATTTTCTTTTTCTGTAGCTACATGTTATTTCATTGTTTAAACCTATCCTAATTCATTTAATCACTTCTCCAGTGATAAAACTTTAAATATGCAAAATGTTATAGTAAAAATTCATCATATACACTTTAGCATGCTCAAAGGAGTATTTTTAGAGAGTAACTGGTAAACTTGAAATGTTAAATAAAAAAATCTACCATATGCTAGATACTATCACGTTGCATTTTGAAAACTCCACCAACTCTCACATTTTCCCCACAGTGATCCTTCTCATGTACTTTCAACCATTTCCAAAATGAGATGTAAAAATTTATCAACTTTAAGTTGATATTTTTGTGATCATTAATAAGCCTGAGCATTTTTCATGTGTTTTATATTTCTTTTGCTATACTTTGGCACCTTACAATCTTTCCTCTTTTTCTATTAGGTCATTTTATGTTAGATATTCTGATTTATGGGCTATATGTCTATATTTTTAATTACATATATAAATATAGTTAACATTTTTCTACTTTGTCTTTCAACTTTGCTTATGGGTTTAATTACTTTTAAGTAATCAATATGTTCCTTTTTTGTCATATTTTCTGATCTTATCCATCCTATAAAACATAGTACTATTATAAAAATATTAACCTATATTATTTTCTAGTATTTCTATGGCTTCATTTAATTAGTATATTTGCATTTACATTTCTAGTGCTTCCTATGTTATAAGCACTATGCAAATGCTTTCATGTACTGTTTGATTTCAGCTCTCTGACAGGCTTGTTATGTAAGTGCTACGATCTCCATTTTATTTTATTTATTTAATTTTTCTTTTGCAGAACCAGGGATTGAACTTAGGCCCCTGTGCTTGCCAGGGAAGCGCTTATTCTACCGAGCCATCTCCCCAGCCCCATAATCTCCATTTTAAAGTCAAAGTTCCAAGAGATCAAGACATACAGTGGTACCCTGGTTTACAAAATTAGTTCATTTTATAATTTTGGGGAAGATGGCTATAGTTGTAGCTGTGTTTGTCACTCAATGCTAGGTTTGCAAATGGAAGTGAAATTTTGCTAAAAGGTTTAGTTTCTGAACCAAATTGTTTGAAAACTGAAGCATTCATGAACCAATGCATTACTGTAATTTGCTTAAAATGATAATTAATAGGTGAGCGATTAAGGGTTTGAGCCAACATCTGTTTAAGTCCATATATATTGAGTACTTTATTCCTTTGAATTTTCAGGAACAAATTCTGCATAAGCAAGGAAGCAAAGATACAGTTTTGGGGGCCAGGGAGATGGCTCAGTAGACTAAGTGCTTGCCCAGCAAGCGCAAGGGTCTGAGTTTAATCCCCAGTTCCGCAAAGACAAAAAAAGATACAGTTTTGTCTGTCTCTAAAAATTGGCATTTGCCCCAATATGTGCAACTGAAACTTGCCTTATGTAATTGAAATGTCTGAAAAGTAATTATTTAAAATATCAAATGATAGGAAAAGCATTGGACTATAACATCAGTCTTTTTTCCTCCTTACTTAGCTAAATCGGAACCTTTCCATTAGTAGTCTCCATCTGAAAAATGACCCTAATTATCTGTTCTGTTTACCTTATAGTTTTTAAGGATTTTAGAACTTTTAAAGATAAAAAACAAAAAAGCACATAAATATCTGGTACTATAGTTCTCCAATATATCCTTATTTATCTCTAGTCAACAGAGTTGAGCTCCATTAATGCCAAGTAGAAAAAGACATGTCTCATACTGGGAAAGTATAAATTATTCTAATGAGCAACATAAAACACTAATATTTACAACAAAGACTCTAATTTTTCTTTCTTTCTTTTTTTTTTTTTTTTTTTTTTTTTTCCGTAACCAGGGATTGAACTCAGGCCCTTGAGCTTGCCAGGCAAGGGCTTCTTCTACTGAGCCATCTCCCTGGCCCCAAAAGACTCTAATATTAAATTTACTTACAATCAGGTGTAGGCTTCACATCTTTCAATTGAAGCTGAAGTTTCTTTACATTGTTATGTATTTTGGCTAATTGTTGCTGGATTTTTGCTCCTATAAGGAAGAAGTATACACTTTAATTTTGTGGCAAATAATATAGCTATAATTAAGTTCTATATTGAAAGACCGATCATAATCACCCAGTAAAAGATAATCAACAACAATTAAAGACAAAAAAGGAATAATGAAAGAAAAAGTGGTTAGTTATGTCAAAAACAATTGAATATTCTTACTCTAAATAAAGCATCTTTCATTTCAAGATTGGAAAGCACAATGGATTAAGCCTTACTGCAAATTTGTGGCAAGCAGTTTGCTTTTTCTCTGTGGCTACTGAGTTACTTTGGATTTCGTGTTCAAATACTGCAGCTTATTTATTTTATATTTTGTTCTTTAAAATTTCTCCTTAATTTGTTGTAGTGTATGGAAATAAAATTTTATCTTTATTGTGGGAATATCAAGACTGTCTAAACAGCATTAATTCTATGAATACTGACAAACTTCCCATTTTATCTAAACACACCCTCCAAGACACAGTGGGTGATATCTATTGGTGTCAGCAATATGGCCCTGAGGTTTCTCAGGTACCGCTCAGTGGTATCTGTCCCACGAGTGGCAAACCTCAACAAAAGGGCCAACCTGAAGTAAAACGTTAAGACCAGAATAAAAGCCTGAAAAATTGATGAAAATTTCAGACATTTTCAGATAGTTTTTCTCAATAGCAAAAAAGACTAGATTCTTCTCTCTTTTTTTTTTTCCTGGCATAACTTCACCTTAATACTTAAATCAGTAGGTTTACTCTAAAAATACTCATATTCACATACATTCCTATAATAGTTGTATTCTTTTATTACCATTGAGTACCTTATGCATCCTCATATTTTTTGATTTTTAATTTTTTCAAATAGTCCTTAAAGATTTTTGTTTCAGTGATGCTTTGGGGTCCAACCCAAGGAAGGGTCTCATACATGTTAAGGCAAGAGCTCGACCACTGAGCTATGCTCAAATGAAATTTTGTTCACTGCTAGAACTTTAGGGCAACAAATTTGTCTAGAAAAGTTATAAAATTAGAAAGTGTGTTTTTTGTTGTTTTACTTTTGCCATAGCTTCATAAGCTACAGCAGTATCAATAAAGGAAAAAACAGTCTTATTTTATGTATTTATGTGAAATTAAACTTCTCTTCTCTGGAAAAAAGAAGTAGTAAAAAGAGTAATAGCCAAACCACGGAAGCATAAGAAAATATAAATTCAGACTAAAACTGGGACACAACATTTGATGTTAGAAACAGATATTCACTACTTCTGAACTGAAAGGAAAGGAAAGCTTTTGTATCTTTATATTAGATAACGCAGTCTTCTTAAATGAAAACCAGCCTCCCAGTCGTGTGCAAAATAACTGAGAGTTATTAACAAATAGGAGATCAAGGGGTCTAGTTTATAAATCAGAGCAGAGAGAACTATAAATGTGGTACTTATGTTAGCCCTGGTCATCATTCCAACAGAAGAGTGAGAATGCTTTGTCATACGACAAGAGATTACTTTTTAAAAATAATGTAATCTTATATCCTGAAAGAAAAAATTAAGAATTTCTTTTGGTTGGCAGTATAAGAGTACCATAAGCAAACTAATCTTTACATATAAATCAACATGTTACAAAGTTTAGTTAATTGATAACCATTATTTTTCCTATAAACAATACTAACAAGCTTCTTTCCTTCCTTCCTTCCTTTGTATTTTAGGACAGGGTCCACGTGGTCTCACTACATAGATCAGACTCATAGTGATTCTCCTGTTTTCAGCCTGCCAAGCACTGGGATTACAGCGTGAGTCACCACACCCAGTCTCAGTGGCTGGTTCAGCATGCCCCAGGGGCAGGGTCCTTACGGCATGCTAGGGGTAGAACCCAGGCCACTGTGCTCTGCCTAAGCATGCACTTTAATCCACTGAGCTATTTGATCGGCCCTGAACAAGCTTTTTTCTTACAAAGACTTTGCAACACATAAAATTTGGTATTCTTTTTGTTGTCTTTTTTTTGAGACAGGGTCTCACTGCGTTGCCCAGGCTGGCCTCAGATTCCAGCAATCCTCCTGCCTCAGTCTCCTGAGTGCTGGGATTATAGGCATGTAATCCCTGGGCATCAGAATCTAGTGTTTTTAAAGGACTAGCACAGCTCTGCTGAGGTAGGAATTGCTGAATTTCAGAAACCAGCTGAGGAAACTTGGATTTAAACAATTATATGTTATGATCACTTCACATAGCCATTTTGTATACATTCTGAGTCTACTGATGCTTAAACTCCAGAAATCAGTCAAACGTATCAGGCTGATGAGCTAAGATTAGATGCTCAGGAAACAGTTTGCTTCTCTATTAAGAAATCTGAATAGAATTTACTGATTTGTCAACCAAAGAACCTCAAGCTCTCTGTCTTTCATATTCAATTGGAATAAGTAGAAAGGAATTCAGTTGGAATGACTAAACAGTGACCTGAAAGAAAAAAACACAAATTTTGTTCCAAAAAGACAAATTTATTACCTACTAAAATATCTTGCTAGAGAATATAGCACAGCTAATGCACAAAGACAAAGACAGGGCAAAACTACAATTGTGTATCACTCAGCACTTTTTAGTTCATGAAATCAACTTACTTTCCATTTTCCTGCTGTTAATCAATTTATTTTCCAATTCTTCCAGCATACTGTGCTCAACTCTTAAGTCATGTTTTTGGTTGTAGAAATGACTGTGTTTATCTTTTTCTATAATAATAACTCTTTAGGAAAAAAAAATGGTATAAATATTTTTAGTTACTTAAAATATAAAGGAATTCATAAAAATCAGTACTAAATATTCATATTACTTCATTTAAAGAGAAAAAATATAATTATTTAGATTAAGAGGCTATAGACAAAAATATTAGTCAACATAATAGGAAAGAGTTAAACTCACCTAAAATCAAATGCAATTTCAACTATTAAATTATAAAATGTTAATTTAAGAAAATGTACTGATTTTCTTCTTTTAAAACTACACAAGCTTTTGAGTATGCATCCAATGCAGTCATCCTGTGGTTTGAAAAGAGCAGCTATTGCTGATGACTGCTTTCAAAAGAACATAAGGTTACTTTGTAACCTTAGCAGAGATGTTAACCTACCCTGTTGTGATGTTCTTCATTACTAACAGGGATAAAAACAGCTCTCCATTACCTGGCAGGGCATAGTTAACATCAAAGGAGATAATGTATGTGAGGGACCTTTGTACTGAGGAAATGCAAATTATTAACACTATTATTTGAGGTACTGGGGATTGAATCCAGGGCCTTTGTGCTGACCCAGGCCCCAACTGACTTTCTATTTTTATTTTTGGAGACAGTATTGTTAAGTTGCTAAATTGCCCAAACTGAGCCTGAACTTGCAGTTCTTCTGTCTCAGTACTGATATTACTATGTTGCCTACATTTAATTCAATGCTTCTTTTATCTTACAGTTGTTTCTTAGATTCAGACCATTTACACGTAACGAGTTCTAGCTGTAGTTTGATCCTTCTGTGAAACAAACCAAAAAATATACTAATAATATTTTTCTTTTTTGGTTTGGGTAACCAAATTAATGTTCTTAACGACTGTTTTATTTTTCCATTGGGCAGAAATTAATATGAATATTTCTCCCCAGTCTTGGGTTTAATCAGTGGCTGAGTGTCTCTGCCCACAGACCTAATTTCACAGAACCTGAGCTATAACTCTCTAGGGTAGTTTCCTAGTATTTTTAGCTTGTATAGAGAAAAAAATTTAACTTATTTTTTTTCCTCTAGGCTTACTAAAGGAAATAGATGAGTGTTCCAGACCCTACAGACTGATGGGTTTATTTCTCAGCTCAAACTAAGTTGAAGAAGTTTGTGTGGTTTGAAAGGTGGCAAGAGATGTACTGCTGGGGCCAGGGAGATGGCTCAGTAGGATAAGCACTTGACTGGCAAACGCAAGGATCTGAGTTCAATCCCCGGTTCCGCCAAGAAAAAAAAAGGAGAGAGAGAGATACTGCCAACTGTAGCATACTGAAGGTGGCCACTGAAATCTTGTGTGAAGGACCAGAAAGCCCAGGTAGACACTGGATGGTGGTGGGAATATTATAATCAAATAGAAATGTCTGTCATGGGTAAAGAATATGCCATGACAATAATTTATATGTTGCTACTCCTGGACTAGGAATATTGAACTTTATAGACATTCAAAATATACTAATAGAGAAAAACTGTGCAATATAGTCTCACTCATTATAGGAGAAACCCAAATTCAAATTATACACTGTATACCTTACAAGAATTGGCAAAAACAAAAAAAAATACAAATTTAAATAAAATTATATGTAATATATTCATAATATATTCTGTTGAAACTGTGAAAAAAGGAACACTTTCATGTATTGTGGGTGGAATTGCAAATTACTTATAAAAGGCAATTCAGCAAATTGATTGCCTTTGGCAATTCACACACCTTTGACCCACCACAGTCTTCTAGAAATTTATCCTGAAGGTACATTCACGTATGTGCAAAACAATGGGAACTTATGTAGACATTGCAATTAACTGCAGCATTGTTTGTTAAAAAAAAAAAAAGGACTGAATACAACCTAAATGTCCCATCATTATGGAAAAGGTTAAATAAAATCATACTACAATGGAATGTACAATGTACTAGTACTATGTTTTGTATACTGATCATAAAGGGTCCAAGATAACATTCTTTTTAACAATAAAATGTTTATATCAAAATGTCAGGCATACCCCCAAAAATCAAGAAATCCCATTCATATAGTCTCATACTTTTTCCTTTTATCATTTTCTTGTTTTGTTTGCTTAAACATCTACCTCTTTGCTTAAATACTTCACAAAAACTTTTGCAAAGTTTTTTGTCTTACTTTGCTTAGATATTTTAAAGTAATTCTCTACCACTTTGTGTTTGATTTCCTTATAAACACAAAATATCTGTGAAAGAATACAAAAGAAACTACTACTGTTGGTTATTTGAGATAAAGCGAAACTATGTGCCTGAGGGGGGTGAAACTGAGACTGTCCATTTTATTTTTAGTAATATAAATGTATTATCTACTCTCAAAACAGAATGATATTACAAACTGTTTTATCTGAACATTTAATGAGGATTGATAAAAACACTCTTTCAGTGAGTTTTTCTAAAGCCTAATCTGTATGATAAAACACAATGAGTTGCTTTATAAATGGATCTTAACTACTTATTGCAGAGAAACGTAAACCAGAATCCCCAACCTAAAGCCCAATTCTATCTAGAGCAATGCACTTTGTAAATAAAAAAATAAATCAAATAATGTATTCCAAATTCTGTATATTAAAAACATAAACATTACCAAATTTCAGGTATAAGACATACTATTATTAACTGTAGTCACTATGCTTGCTGTACTTCAGGACTCTAGACCTTATCTGTCTCATAACTTGTACCCTTTACCAGTATTTCCCCATTTTTCTCACTCTTAACCCACCCTGATGATCAATCTTTTCATTTGTCTTTTAAGTTCAACTTTTTTAGATTTCACATATAATATAATGAAAATGTTTGGCTAAGAGCATACAACACTTTGTTCGCATCACACACACACATGCACACACATGGCAACTATGTGAGGTGATGGACATGTTAGCTTAATGGTAGCAATCTTTTCATATAAGTACATCAAAATATTACTTTGTATACCCTAATTATAATTTTTATTTGTCAATCATACTTCAATAAAGTTTGAGCAAAAAGATACATGCAGTAAGAATTTAATCTCTAAAATCTACAACATGGCAAAACTTATCAAAATTCAAACAGTATAATTTTTTCACTGGTAGAACTTCTAAAGAGAACTGCCATTCTGTTCCAAAATCCATTACTCACAGTGGCCTCCTTTTCTCAAGTTCTTTGGTAAATTCACAGGGTATAAATTCACAATATTTTTATAAAAGTCTCAACAATAGGGTACAGAGTGGGTCTTCTAAGTTCTAATCATTGTCATTTTTCATGATATTTATTGTCATGATGCTGCTGACAACAATGTTTTTTGTTTTGTTTTGTTTTGTTTTTTTCGGAACCGGGGATTGAACTCAGGTCCTTGCGCTTGCCAGGGAAGCACTTACTCCAATGAGCTATCTCTCGGGCTGCTGACAACAATGAACAGTCAATAAATACTGCTGATTGCTTACAGAAAATATTCATATACTATACACTACAGTTTTAAGATAAATGTAAACTTCTCAGTTATTCTCATCATAATGTATAAACTGGATCTGAGAGGAGTAGAGACCAAAGGAGGAAGACCAATTAAAAGTCCACTAAAGAAAGAAAACCTCAATAGTACACCAAAGTTCTCACCAAAGTTATTTACTCCTTTCCTTAGTGAGATCATATCCACATACTCAAAGAAGCTTCACTGAAGGAAAACACTGATTTGAACAACTGTGACTTTCAGAGTGGCTCAAGCTGGTCTGTAAAATTAAACATTCCTGATCATATAACTTCTGGAAAGTACTTATTCTCTATAATCCTTAACATCCTCATTTTTAAAATATGCAAAATAGTGATATAAATATATATCACTTATAAAACATTTCCATACATATATTAAAGATCCCAAAAGACATTTTACTCAAAAATATCTTAGTACTAAACTATAGCTGTAACTATAGCTTGAGATTAAAAAAAACTAAAGAAATAGCTATTTTGTTTTCCTTGAACTACACTGATTAAAAGTGGTAAAACCAGTAAAACTGAAACTTAAAATTAACTTCATATTAAATAGTCTTATTATCATTTACCCATGTCACACTTCCTACATTTCTTCAGTTTTGTCTTGTTCCATACAGGCTGATGACTAGAACTTCCTAACAATGTGGGACTGGGTGAAGTAGAATTAAATTTAAGTTGTCCATTATAAAACTTACACTTACTGATTTTTAAATTTTTCTGCTGTGCGTATGAATTCTGCTTTCTTTGTTCGATTAACTTTCTGCTTCCAGTTTTGAAGATGAAAAGGATAAATTCCACCCGATGTACTAAAGCAGCCATCACTCTGCATAAAGAACAAAAATATCAATAATCAAAGTGGTGTAAGATAAATGTAGCATTTTTTTTAAGAGACAAAATATCAATAGTGGAGTTTCTTGGGCCAAATGAAAAGAAATACATTTTGTGTAAGAAGGAATTTCTATCTTAACACACTAAATTCAGAAGGAAATGTGTGTCTAGGGATTATGTCCAAAAAACCACATAATTTATTGATCAGTTATTTATCATAAGTGGCAGTGGTGGCGAACCTATGGCATGTATTATTCTGTTTTTGAGACAAAAGATGTTAATGTATGAGTTGGTTTCTTCCAAACTAAAATCTCAGTCCATATTTAGCCTTAATTGTAGTATTGGCACTTTGCAATAAATAAGCGCAAAGGTTTCAGGTTGCAGTTTGGCACTTGGTCCTAAAAGGTTCATCACTGATATGGGCTGAATGCTATGACCTCACAGGTACATCATTAGACACTAGAAAAACAACAATGATCCATACTAGTATGGCCCATCTAAAAAGTCTACTGAGGAAAAGATTTTTAAAGATCAAAGAAAAAGCAATAAAACTAAATATGCCATGTGCTATTAAGAAAAATAGTGCTCAGACAGAAAATAGGAGGATCAGGTTTGTTTCACCAGTTAGAATAGTCACAGGGTGACATTTAAGAAAAAGTAGAACCAGACATGCTAGAAACAGCAGGGAAAGATGTTCCAGGCCCTGGTATAAGCTGTGCAACATTCCAAGGGCAGGAAAGACCAGCTAATTCAAGCAGGGAACAGTCAGTTGTATAAGATTAACAAAGCTGTGTAGAATGTAACAGTAGGCAGGTATGTGTCAGAAACACAGACTTTTCAAGTCACTTAGTAGATCTGATTGAAGCGATTTGAGTAGAGCAATGCCATAGAAACCTTATTTCTTCAAGAAAATCTGGGTACATTTGAGAATCAATTGGTATGAGGTATAGGGATGGGAGATGCAGATTTGGAAGTATGAGGGTCAGAGCGTAAGCTGGTATGGCATTACAGGCAAAGAATGAGAATACAGAATACCTGGGGGCTATAAATTTAAAAAGAATATTAAATATAATTTGTAAGTATAATCAAGAATGATTCCTTAACAGCAGGTTTTGAGAAATGAATTAAAAGAAAAATAAAGCTTCATATTTCTAAGAGCAAGAATAAAGAATTTAGGAAATTTTTAAAATTGGGATATAATTTACATACTATACATAGTTACTTGCTTAAAGTATATAATCCGATTTTTCATTATAGTCACAAAACAGTTCAAGCATCATCACTAACCAGTTCCAGAATATTTTCATTATGCCAAGGAAAAAACCCTACTCATAAGTAACCATTCCTTATCCCCCTTTCTCCCAACTCCTGGAAACCATGTATCTATTTTTTAACTCTATGACTTTATTCTGGATAAATGGACTTCTTTTACTTCATGTAACGCTTTGAAGACTTACCCATGTTGTACCATGGATTTGTATTTTATTCTTTTTTATGGCTGCATAACATTGCATTGTATTGATATTTTGTTTATCCACTCACCAGTCAGCAGCTGATGGATACAACAGGTTATATCTACCATTTCCACAATGTAAACATTGCTATTATGAACATCTCTGTACATGTTTTAATGTGAATACATGTTTTCAGTTATTTTGGGGGTATATGTATCTAGCAGTAGAATTTCTGGCTCATAGGGTAACTATTTTACTTTCCTGCTAAAAAAAAAAAAAAACAGATCACACTTTCATTAACTTGGGCACATTCTTCAAATATTCTGAAAATTAGTCCCTTCTCAAACATGATAGCAGATGGTTTCCCCTGTTCTGAGTTTTTTCACATCCTAATTAATGCCTTTGAAGCACAAATTTGTAACTTTCTGAGAAACTGCCACTTTTTTCTAGTGGTTGCACCATTTTACAGTCCCATTAGCATCATATGAGATGTCCACTCCTTCATCGACATCTGTTATTGTCTTTTTATTATTATTACAGCTATCTTAATGGCTGTGAAATGATATCTCACAATGGTTCTGATTAGTCCATAATGACTAATGATGCTGAAGATCCTTTCATGTGCTTATTCATCACCTTTTTTGAGGAATGTCTACTGAAATCCTTTCTCATTTTATTTTTGGGAGGAAATATGTTTATTTTAAATATTTTACCAACAGTAACATCAGAACAGCTGGTTCAAGCCATATAAACACTGCCCAGTGCTCAATTCTGTACCATCTCAGTGAGCTTCTACATAAGTGGAAAGGTCCAGGTTAGTTTTCCACTGCCCTCTGGAAGCAAGGAAGCTATTAATGGAAAGCCACTGTAACTTAGTTTCACTGCCAGTTACATTTTTATGCTAAAATAACTTTGGTCTTCAGAGCTGATTTTCTAGTCCTTCAACCTGAACTTTTTCATTACACTACCCAATTGCCAAGTCTGTAGTGTTTCAGCACCTCATTGAAACTCTCAGAGTTAAATGTAACCCTGGATCTGGGAAGATTCCAAAAATGTATTATCTCATAAAAGCAGGGGCCATCAAACTGCTGCTGATATGCCTCCTGGGTTCCCTGGGGCTCACTGTGATTTTAGCCTTAAGAGACTCAGCATACTTTCTCCACTGAAGACCCCAAAGATGGCATAACCCAGTATGTACCCAACGATAAAAGTTGATAGCCATTTCTGCTACAGAAGTTGCCATCTAGCTCAGTGGTAGTGAACCTATGACACATGTGTTATTGTGCTTTTATTTTAAAACAAAAGCTGTTGGGGCCTGGCCCTAGCTCAGTCCTTTAAGTGGCTGCTTCCACAAAGCTGGCAGCCTCAGGTTGCTGGAGTTCGAACCTCACAACTCTCCTGCTGGTCAAAAGTGCCCTGAAGGCATTCGAGGAACAACAACAACAAAAAAAGCTGTTAATATAGGTGGTTTTGGGGTTTTTTTTCTAAACTATTTGGGTTTAACTGCAGTGTTGGTACTTTGTGATAAAAAAGTGGATTTTGGGTGTCAGTTTGGCCCTCAAGTCTCTAGAAGGTTTGCTGTCCCAGACCTAGGCCAGCAGACCTGGCTGTCTAGGCATAGCACTGTGTGCCAACTGCAAGTGTGTGTATGTGGGGGGAGTGTTAAGGGGGGAGTTGCTGTTAGAGGCTCAGGTGCTGCAGCTGAGCTGCTCTGCTACCCTTAGTGCAGTTTTCATCTGATGGGCCTAAATGATTAGAGGAATCAGGCATGAAGAGCTGTTCAGCTTCCATGAGGCATCATAAGTGCATAGTGGATTAGTGTCTTGAAATTTGAAAATGCTTTTACTCTGGAAGCTACTGCCTTTCTCCATTAAAAAAAAATGGGTTGTCTTTTTTATTGTTGAGTTGTAATAGTTACTTCAGTCTGTAGTGTTTCAGTAGGGAAACCCTAGTAGACACTTGTAGTATCATGAGACTGTCATCAGAAAAATTATCTCAGGAAAACATTTGTTGGTTTCATTGTCTGTCAACAAAAATGTTAATCACATGACTAATATGTCAAATTCAGTGTTTGGTTATAAAATTCATATGTATAATGGGGAGGTTGTAGTAGTAACAAAGATGTATAACATATATACTCCTTAAAAATAGCACAACATATGGGCCAGAGAGAGAACTCAGTGGCATAAGCACTTGCCTGCTAAGTGCAAGGTCCTGAGTTCAATCTCTGGTACAAAAAAAAAAAAAAAAAAAAAAAAAAAAATTACAACATAGTACACAGTGACCTTTTAAGGTCAAACACACCTGAGCAAATTTACATTACTGCTATGATTCTCTGCTAGGAAACTGCCTTGCTTACTGAAGTGGTAAAACAGTATGTAAAGTGGGGTTTCCTAACCTCACTCTTAATGACACTCTGGAGCAGATAGCTGTAGTAGGCTGTACTCTGATAGATGTTATCTGTACCTCAACACTCCCTTTCTTTCTTTCTTTCAATGTATTTGATACAGGGTCTCACTATGCAGCTCATACTCATAGTAATCCTCTTGTCTTCAGCCTCCCCAGCGCTGGTATTATAGGCTTGTGCCACCACACCCAGTCTAACACTCCTTTTCTTTTGCGCCAACTGAAAACATCTACAGACACGGCTAAATGTCTTCTGAGGACTAATTCAATGTTTGAAGCAGCTTCACAGGTGATTCTGATATAACCCTTGGGAAGGCAACTGTAGTAGTGATCAAAATATGTTCAATGACAGTAAGAGGCAGCTTGTAAATGAAAATCAGGAGGTTAAGTGTAGCTATAAGAATTTAGAGTACAAATAACGTTGAACTAGAATAAGCCAGAAAGTTTTCATGCAGAAGGCTATGATTAGACCAATGGGGTCATACATTAAGTACGTACTTCAAAATGTGTATTATGTATTTTTATGTATTTTATATTTTCTCCTGATACACTTAGAACCAGAGTTAAAATAATAAAGAGAATTATAAAGGATGTGTGAGAAAGTTGTCTGAGATGGAGTTTCCTGATTTGCACACTAATAAAGACATTGTATTCCTTTATAGCAGCGGTGGCAAAACTAGTGGGCAGGCAAAGGCTTCTCTATTGGCAGGCGAGCCGACAGCATCACACCAGTACATCCCCCCAGCAGCACAACACACACAAGGGCCGGCCACATGGACCCTCAGATAGGTGTAGCAGGGTCGTCACAGATAACCTGAGTGCTGCAGGTGTTGCTCTCAAACTAACAAAGTATTGTATGAGCCAAGGTTAACAAATTATGCCTACAACAGCAAAGATCACGGGCTACGGAGATGGCTCAGTGGAATAAGCGCTTCCCTGGGAAGCGCTAAGGGCCTGAGTTCAATCCCTGGTTCTGCAAAAAAAAAAAAAAGTCATTGAGAATGACAAACAGAAATAAAAAATTACTTAGATAAGTTTTAAAAAAAGCAAAGATCTCATTAATTGTGCAAAAAGCATGCCAAATGCAAACTTTTACCTTTCAACAAAACATTTAATCATTGAAAGCTATTATTGTATCTTTTAAGACAAAAGATGTTAATGTATGAGTTTTTTCTAAATTAAAGCCTCTGTATTTGGGTTTAACTGCAGTTTTGGAACTTTGCAATAAATAAGTGGGTTTTGGATTGTAGTTTGGGCACTCAGTCTCTAAGTCTGCCATCACTGTTTCAGAGGTTGGAAAAGGCGGAGCCTGTCCTCAGGTCACAGTGCTTTCTTCGGGTCTGGACTGACCCCCAAGCAGGTACTATGTCTTAGGTCCTACAATACAGGGTTAATTCTTGCTGCTGGGAGCACAGCAGTGACTAAAGCTTCCCAAAATTCCTGCGCTCATGGAGCTTACATTCTCTTGGAGGAAAGGCAAGACTAAAAAAGTAGGAATACAATATGTAATATATCATGTGGTAATTGCTACAGAGAAAAACAAAATTAGAAAAAGAGGGCTGGGTGTGGGGGATAAGAGGGTTTAGTTTTGAAACAAGAGCAAGTCTTACTGATACGTGCTCGTTGCAGCCGAAGTGTGTTACTCCAATCTTAGAAACACTTTTGCCTCTGACCATCCCTTTATTTCATTCCTTTTCTTTCCCCAGCACCAGTAAAATAAAACAGCTACCACCAACTAGGACTGCGCCGGGGCTCGCCGCTCGCGAAGACGCTCGCCACTGGCAAGGTTTAGAGAGAAGCCTACAGTTGAGATAACCATGGTCCCATCACACGGCCGGAAGCAGCAGATCCAGGGCTCCACCAGATTCTTCCTCTCGACTCTAAAGCACGCGGAGGCAGCTCTGCAAAGGCCGTTAGCCACGCAGGCTAACAAAGCGCGGCGCCGGGCTGCGCCGGGCCCCACAGGTTCAGCGCAGCGCCGGCCGGCAACACCTGTTCCGCCCGTCCTCCCGCGCCCAGCGCCCGCGCCGCGGCTCCGGCCTCCCACGGTTACCTGTGGCGGCGCCGGCGCTGCTCCCGCGCCGCTTCCCGCGGCCGCGCCCGGCCCTGCCGCCGCCCCGGACGCTGCTGTGGTCGCTGCCGCCACCACGACCGTCGTCAAGGCAGCCATGTTTCCTCACAGTGGCTCAGGGCTCGGAGACCAAGCGGGTCCGGGGGTCCGCGCCAGAAGAACGGCCGCGAGCCTCCGCTAAGCGCTCATGCTGAGCGGGGCTCGCAGGGTGCCTGACAAGACACAGACGAGAGGCGAGGTCGGGCCGCGGGGCGGAGCCGGTACAGGGTGGGGCAGCAGAAGGGCGGGGCTATGCGGGGCGGGGCGGAGCCGCGGTGCAAGGCGGGGCGGCAGGTGGGTGGGACCATGCGGGGCGGGGCCGGGCGGAGAAGCGGTGTAAGTGGGGGTGGCAGAAGGGCGGGGTCGGGCGGGGCCTCGGTGCAGGGTGGGGCGGCAGAAGGGCGGGGCTAGTCGGGGCGGGGCCGGGCGGAGCCGCGGTGTAGGGTGGGGAGGCAGAAGGGCGGGGCCATGCGGGGGCGGCAAGTGGGTGGGGCCATGCGGGGCGGGGCCGGGTGGAGCCGCGGTGTAGGTGGGGGGTGGCAGAAGGGCGGGGTCGGGCGGGGCCTCGGCGCAGGGTGGGGCCGGGCACATCTTCCTGCTCCTTGGCGAATCTGTTTATCTGGTTTGTCCGCGCAACCCAACTTAAACCAGCAAAACTCAGTTTTACATTGTCATCTTTAAATTTTATTCATGTCATATATATGTACATATTTTTCATTTAATAGTACGGCTTTCTTATTTTTTACACTACGTGCTGGTGCGATGGCATCTAAATAGAATTATCAACAGGCTCTAATAATAAATTACATTTTACAATTTCAGAGGGAATAATAAGCATGCCTCTTAGAAGCAGATATCAGAGGCAGGAATGCCATAATTGCATTCCTAGGATTTGATGAATGAGAAGAGAGCTTCCAAAGAATTTCTCTGTTGAGAAATTGAAATTAAATCCCATTTATTCCTCATAAATAGCCTAGTGATACGGATAAAACTGTCATCTCCATTTTAAGGATAAAAGTAAGCAAGAGGGTCACAGCCGGGTGCTAGGATACAAACCTGGGCAGACTGACTCCAGACAATCCACATAGAAACATTAAACAGACAAGTGGGTACATGTTTTTGGATCTCAAAGGAGAGACTGAAGATTGAATTTGGCCTTCGTGTCCCTGCAGAACGTATGTAAAATAAGATTAAATCAGATTACCCAGGCAGGATGTAAACAATATAGAAAAGTGTTTCATGGAGAGAATGATCAACAGTGTGGTCCACTTCCCAGAGGCTGAGTGAGCAAAGAAAACAAAAAGGATGGTTGGATTTGGCAATAAGGAGCACAGGCTACCTGAAGAGAGGAAGGTCTATGGGGGCTGAGAACTAGAGCCTGGCTGAGTGGGTGAAAGAGATGATGGAGGAAAGAAGGTGGAAGTGTTGTGTTCCAACAACTATTTGATAGATTTGAGGGTACAGGTGATGAGAGAGAAGAAATGCTAACTGGAGAAAGATGTGTGACCAGAAAGGGTCTCTGGGGGTCTAATACAGAATGCTTGTATGCTGCAGGGTGCAACCTAGAGGAGAATAGATATTTGATGCTGCAGAAAAGAGAGGCAACCAAGCCCTTCTGAGGGCAATATTGTGTCTAGCACGCAAGGGGAAGGTTTGGTCTTTGATAGGGGCATGGCCATGGACTCTTCCTAATGGGGGTGGGAAGAGAGTCTTGCACATAGGGATTGCAGCACAAAGGGGTTGATAATACAAACCAAAGACCTGGCTTTCTCCAAATCTCCAGTGTGAGCGTGGAAGAAGTAAGTTACTTAGGTGTATTAAGAAGATAAAATTCTGGGGGCTGGGAAGATGGCTCAGTAGAATAAGCACTTGCCTGGCAAGCTCAGTGGCCTGAGTTCAATCCCTGGTTCCACCAAAAAAAAAAAAAAAGGTAAAAATCTGGTGGGCAAGATATCTCAGTGGTCTACAGTGCTTGCTTAGGCAAGCTAAGGACTGTGGTTTGATCCCAGGCACCACCAGCCCCACCAGCACCACCCCCAGGGCAGGCTGAGCAGGTCACAAAAAAAAAAAAAAGATAAAAATCTACTTGATATATTTACTTTTCACTCAAAATAAGGCATGTTGCTATAAGCATTGTCCAAATGCCTCTAATTGTTAGTTCAGAATAAACATGCATCTTTCATGGAAAATAAGTCGACAATTTGAACTGAGTGATTAAAGAAACAATCCTCAAGATGCCCACTGTTTAAGGATTCTTAAACTGATTTATTGAATGGAAAGCTTCAAAAAATAATAAATCTCATAAACAGAAAACAAAGCAGGCTTATATGATAGGCAGGCTAGGCAGCTGCTGTATCCTCACCCCTGGTTCCTCTCAGTGGTCACAGCTAGGAATGTATTTGTTTTATAGTTTTATTTTCTACATTTCTATACCACTTCTAATTTAACATGACATGTTTGTCTTTTTTTTTATATTTTTTTTTTATTTATTACATTTATTTATTGTGTGTGTGTATGGCCAGCTCAGCCCACCAGGGGGCGGGTCTGGCTGGCATGTGGTGCTGGGGATCGAACTGCGGTCCCTGTGCTTTGCCAAGCTTGTTTCAAGTAGGTGCTTTAGACCACTGAGCCATCTCTCCAGCCCCGACATGTTTGTCTTTTCCCAGCTTCTTTTATATTTATATTTGCATTGTAACTGAAAATCTTGGTTTCTGCAAGTATCAATGTACGTACTGGTTTCCTTTGTCTTGCACCAATCAGTAGTTTCAAAGTGCAATTCTAACGTTAACATTAACAATGTCTGTTAAATGAAGTTTAAGATTCTTTGGTAGTTCTTTTTGTCATTAGGATACATCCTGCACAGACTCCAGTCAGAGCACCATGTTCAAAAGTTTTCTGACATTAGCCTTTTATTTACATGGCTATGGAATCAATTTGCTATATGGTTTAGTTCTTCTGGTTATGATTATATTGCACTATTTCAATCCACTATTTCCTATTTTTGTTGTTTTTTAAGGTACTCTAAAATATATATGCTATGTACAACATAGGTAAGCTATGCTTAAAGAAGTTTTGCCTTCAAACACATCTTCTTGTGGGAAGCCGTTAACTGATACCCATTTTATAATAGTGTCAGCCGTTTTAAGTTTCTATTCCCCTGCTGAGTTAAGTTTATGGTCCTTCTCACCTTGCCCATTCCCCGTGAATCATGTGCTATGCCCCAGGGGTTGCACCTTCCCCCGTTGTCTAGATACCTGCTGACCCCTAAAGCTGAGACTTCCTCATTCCATCACCCCCTATATATACCCAGAACCTCCCCTAAATAAACGGGACTTGATCAGAATCCTGTCTTGTTCCCATTCTTTGTGTCTCCTGTCCCTTCTTATCCCCACTCCCCCTCTAGGGTCCTTGTTGACTAACCTGCGGGTCGGGGCATCTTCTCTACCCCATGTCAGCTGATCTTCTACAAGTAACCATTTTCAGTGATTTCTAGCTTTCATATTTCTTTTTGAAAAAAATCCAAATATATATATTGTTATGGTTTGTGTCTAGTTGTCCCCCCAAAGCCTCATGCAGTCATGGGGTGAGGACTTCTAGAGTTTGTGTTAACTCATGATCCACTGGGATTATGTGTGATCCAAGGCTGGGATTATGGGTTTTAGTACTGCTGGGATTACCCATAGGTGGGTAAATACTGGGAAGTACCCATAGGTGTGAGTACTTCCCCTACCCTGGGGCAGGTAATTTGCATTACAATGTAAGGTGGGAAGAGAAGCCAGCGGCTTGAGCTGCTGCTACCCCTCCCTTGCACTCTTGCCCTTTGCCACCGCCATGAAAGGCTGCTCTCTGCTCTGTGCTGCTCTGCGTTGGACCCAGATGAGTATGGACTGAAACCTCCAGTAACTGTGAGCTAAATAAACCTTTCCTTCCTTCATTTTGAGTGTCGGGTATTTGTCCCAGCAAAGAATAAAAAGTAACTAAGACATATATGAATGTATGAATTCTTTTTTTCCTTTTTCTTATGAAACATATAGCATACTGTATCATTTCCCTTAGGCGGCTATAACAAAACACCATAAATTGGTTGGTGAGATAGAACAATAAAATTTATTGTCTTATAGCTTAGATACTCAGATGTCTAAAACCAAGGTGTTAGTAGATTTGGTTGCTTGGAGGACTGGAGGAAAAGTTTGCCTCTGCTAGCCTTTGATGATTGTCAGCAATTGTGGATGTTCCTTGGCTTGTAGGAGTACTCCTGCCGTCTATCTGCAGTTCTGTCTCAAATCTGGGCCATGGAATAGGGATTTGAGTAGAGGGTATAGATTAACTGAGAAGTGATCTCAGGAAGCTAGGTGATGGAGAAGGAAAGTAAAACTGGTCAGGGAGAAACACCCATCAGGCATGCTGTGAGAAACCAGGGTGCAGTCCAGCGAGACCTTCTGAGGGAACTTGCAGAGCAGTCCTCAGAATGGTCACACAAAGGGGTGGAGACGTGGAAAGACATGCCTACAAATCCCAAACCTCACCAGGTAAGGGGTTCTGTGAGGGCAGAACTCACAGGCTGTCCCACACACTGACCAAACAGGCTCCCAGAGAAAGCTGTTAGATCAACACAGGGAGGGGAGTGGCACAGGTGGAGGCTGTCAGTGGGGATAAAGAACTGAGAAATGGGACACCGACAGTATGTTATAAAGGCTGTTCAAAACAAGCAAGAAAAGCAGTCTCCTTTTTAAAAAGCTTTCCTCAGAGTCTTCACTAATGGCTTCTTCTCTTACATCATTAACTACAATCAAGCCACACGGCCACCCAAACTGCAAAGCATCCTGAAAAGTAACTTACATGGCCTGTTTTGAGGATGAGTGGGTTAGTGCTAGCACTACCTGCCACAGCAGCTTGTCTGTTGTAAAATTGCCCTATGTCTTTTTTTGGTCTTTTTCTTTTTTTTTTTTAATTATTTATTTTTATTTATTACATTTATTGTGTGTGTGTGTATGGCCAGCTCAGCCCACCAGGGGGCGGGGCTGGCTGGCATGTGGTGCTGGGGGATTGAACCGCGGTGTCTGTGCTTTGCCAAGCTTGTTCCAAGTAGGTGCTTTAGACCACTGAGCCATCTCTCCAGCCCCTTTTTGGTCTTTTTCTGAAACCTATCTTTCCTCTGGTTAAATC